TCCGAGCATTTTGTCACCAGGATTCATGATGTCCACGCTGGGATTTTTCCACTTTCTTGCTCTTAATCTTTGGCAACTAATACACATATTGTTGAAATGCTTACTAGCCCGATTTATTCAATTACACAGTGGTGCAGTACTGGGCTTCAGAGAGTTCTCATGATTTATGGACTCGGTAGAATGGAAGCCCTGAGATGCAAGGGAAAGGGCCAGCTCTTGGGGATTTCAGATACTGAGTCACCCGAGATGCCCCCACCCCAAGAGCAGTCCTACAATCAAGAAAGATTGGGCAGCAAGAGAGCCACAGACCAATTGAGCAGGACCCTCCCACTCCCTGCCTGCCTCCCTCACCTGACTCTCAGGATCTTTTCACAGACTCTTCCAATGAGCTATGCATAACTGTAATCACCACTGGATTCTCCAGTGGGACCCTCTGCAAGTTTTCTTCTAGAATAAGAGAAAACAGAGTCATTTACAGTGAGAACTGAAGGAATGTCCAAAGACAAATGACTTCTGCCTTCTAATTTAACCAGTAAAAAAAATGTCTCATCAGATATTTTCACTGTTAGCAGTAGCCTTCCCATAGACGTGCTGTCCTTTATTCTTTCTCAGTGGCTCTCAAATCTGGGTACACCTTAGACTTCATTAGGAAGCTTTAAAAAAAAATTCAACAGCTAGGCCTCATTCCAGACAAATAGAATTAGTATCTTGGAGAATTGTGGTTGATGGGAAAACTGGGGATGGCACTTCCAAACAGCTATTAGCTACTGGGGTAGCACACTTGTAACCCCAGGACTTGGGAGTCTGAGGCAGGAACATCCCGAGTTTCAGGTCAGCTTGCGACACATAGGGAGACCCTGCCTCAAACTTATTAACAGCACCTGTAGCTTTGGAAACTATGTGTACTGAAAATATCTTGACATATTTGGAGAGGAGTAAGGAATAAAATTCATCTAAGTATCCATTGCTAAAAGACTGTCATCTTAAGGATGTATTTAGAAATGTTGGCAGAGAAATCTATTGTATAGCATAGTGACTACAGTTAGTATCCCATACTTGAAAAATCACTAAGAGTAGATGTTAAGTGTCCTTAGAACAAGGAATAGGTATATGAAGTGGTACCCATGCTAACTAGCTCAGGGTGGCCATTTGACAATGCATATTTCAAGACATCATACTGTATATCATAAACACATATCTTTTATTTTCCAATTAAAACTTTTAAAATACTGGAAGATGGACAGTTCTCTGATGCAAAAGGAAGGATAAAAAATGAATTAGAGGGCTGGAAGTTTGACTCAGTGGTTAAGAGCTTTTGCAGAGGATCCAGATTCGGTTCCCAGCACTCACATGGCAGTTAACTGACCCTAACTCCAGTTCTAGGGAACCTGGTGGCCTCTTCTGGTCTCTGTGGGCCTTGCATGCATGTGGTGCACTTAGGTACATGAAAAACACTCATATACAATTTTTTAAAAATTAATGAATTTGGGGTGAGATCACCGAATTAATCAAAAGTCAGTTCTAAGGGTATAATCTGAAATAAGTAGTAATATGAAAGCAGGAAGATCACTAAGGTTGTCAGTGAGCTTTGTGCTATCCTTGCTGAAGACCAATTATGTCCTGAACTTAAAGTTTAAAACCATCTCCGCCTTTATCCCTTGAAGCTAGGACAGAGTGGCATGAGGTTTCTGATATAAGAACCAGAGAGGAAAAAGGAAGGATTGTGTGTGGGGTTTGTGCCTGGGTTGACTGCCTTTGCATGACTTTAATAAGAATCACACTGAAATACTGACAAGAAAGACAGGCTTCAGTCATGGGGGAGGAAGTAGCCCTGGCATAAATTCTTTCTTTGGTAAACAACAACAACAACAATAACAACAACAAATGTAATGCAAATTTAAACAGGCAGAAAAGTCTGTATTCTACTTTGCTCATTCCGAAGATAAAAGTATCTGGCAAAACGTGACTTAAGGGAGGAAGGATTATTTGGACTCACAGTTTGAAGGGGCACCACTAGTTCATCGTGGTGGGAAGAGTGTGGTGGCGGAGGCGGCAAGAGCCTGAAGCTCCTATCATATTGCAGTCAAAGTGAGGAAAACAGAAAGAGAACAGGAAGTGTGACCAGGCTATCAAGTCTCAAGCCCCACCCCAGGGACCGACTTCCATCAACAGGATTCCATCTCCTAAAGGTTTCACAACCTTCCCAGTGTCACCAGCTGAAAGTTGATGGTGGAAGAGAAAAATGAAAGCTCCTACTTGAGTTTGGTCACTAGCTGTTGGCATAAGATCTGTTTCTACCTTTTGATCAATGGCATTCAATCATAATATTTTCACAGTGTAGACTGCAGACTTGGTTTTCATTTGGAAATCCCTGTCTTGCCTTATCTTATAATTTTGGATCTAGAATGTCCCAATCACAGTGGTAGGCCATCCCAGAAGCTGAAACCTCAGCCCTGCAGCTGTCATGGCACAGCCCTAGCATGCTCTGCATACATGTCTGAGGGCTTGTGAGATGACTCAGCCTTTAAAGGCATTTGTCATACAAGCCTGATGACCTGAGCTTGATCCCCAGAACCCATGTAAAATTGGAAGGAGACCTGTACCCCCAAACACACACACACACACACACGCGCGCACACACATACATACACACACACAGTGGCTAGGCAGGTAAAGGTGCTTTACTGCCAAGCATGATCGTCTGAGTTTGATTCCTGGAACCTACATGGTACAAGGAGAGAACTGATTCTGGCAGATTTCCTACACACACACACACACACACACGCGCACACACACACACACACATACACACACACACACACACAATTTTGGTTTTTGAGACAGGGTCTCAAAGGCGTGTGCCATCATGTCCATCTAATAACTTCTTAAAAATAAGAACCTCTCATAAGCATGGTTACAAGGTTGATAATTTAAATCATATATTTGAAAGTTGATTTTGGTTGCAATTTACAAAATATTCTCCAAGTAAAATGCTACCCTAACATAATAAAAATAATAACCAAAGGGAGAGACAGCAAATGTGAATGCTCCGGGGCCTTAGATGGTGGTGAGCAGTTGGCATGGTTGTTCAGTTACCATGTAAACTCTATCTATTTCAGTTCTCTAAACTGGACACCTGAAAACCTGCCTGCCCCTTTAAACTATTCTGGTCTACGTAAAAGCAGAATTGTATAAGGAATAGTTGTATTTTTTAACTTTGGTAGAAATGGATGATTGACCCAATTAAATCTTCACCACTCATGAAAAATAATGCCTGGAAGGTTATATGAAAATAACTTTAACCACATTGTTGAAGTGCCTGTTTCCATGCCACAATTCCCCTTGTTGGAGTTTTTTTTTTTTTTTTTTTTTTTTCTTTTTTTAACAAACTTGCTGAGGAATGCTTCTTGAGTGCAAAGTAAATACAAAATAGTACTTCTCTAACCAGCTATGGTGATTAGTATAGGCAAATCCCATACAGTTAGGCTACATAGCATGTTAGCTAGAGGGGTGAAATCATACAAAACCCATGATTGTAAGCCCTAGCTGGGCAAATAACCACGAAACAGATAAGTGATGTCTTTCTTTTTTGGAAACTTGTAGGTGAGCATGGGCTAATGTTTAGTCAGTTAATCTTAAGGTTTCATATGTTGTTTATTTATGATGCAAAATTGGTTTACAATACTTGGTGGGTTTTTCAAGGCCAGACCACATTGATACCACCCCACAGTTAGCACCGAGCCCTGTGCTGCACCCCCATAATGCACACTCCATTAGTACTTGGTGGACAGAAGCAGGGAAGACCTACCAGTTCATTCCTGCTAACAATCACTTTTGGGTGTCATAACTTCCTTTCACACTCCAAAACTTTTCTAATGTACATGCGTACATACATGGTGTATTTCTGTAGTACATTGACATTCACACAAACATCACTTTTATGGGTGTAAAATAAAAATGTGCAGGGTTAGGGTTATTTCACCAAAGTTGGGATCTCTACCTATTTTGGGATGAGGCAGAAATTTGCTCATAATAAAAACTGTTGACAACCATGACAAAAATAAGGATATAATATTAAAATAAATCAAAGGATATACAATACTGTCATTCTGATACAGAATTTTTTACATAGCAATATTGATACTGGTACAAATGGCAGAATATCAGGCAATTCATTACAATACACCTTTGGGTTACAAATGAAAGTTTAAATTATAACAATACCGATTTTTACATGGTAACTCATGTCATGCCAAGTTAAAATCACTTCCTCTTCAAGTTCTCTAGAATATCTCCAATTAGGAGACTTTAAAAGAACAAAACAAAAATAGCTTCATTTAAAAAAAAAGAAAAAAATAAATATTCCATTGGAAAAAAATTCTATTTAAACAAAACCCCAAACCTAGAAATATGGACCAGATTCCTTTAGATTTCCATTAATTTTGTCTTCACACTAGTCAAACAAGACTGAAGGTTACTGGGCTAAACCTGTGCAGGAACATTCCAGAAGCACTCCCAGCCTCCACTCCAAAAGAGCAGTCTGGAGCATCTAGTTCAAGCACACCTTGTCACCCAGTGAATATCTCAAGCTGGCAGCCCTTGCCTCACCAGTGATGTCACCAGCAAGCTAAGGGGTTCAGGAGCCCCACTTTAAAATGCTAAAGTAGCAGAGAGGTGGGAGAATCCAGTGAAGGCCGAAGTAGTCTTTGAAGAGTAAGGGTGTGTGTCTGTGTGGTGGGGCAGGATGGGTGGAGGAAAGACAAGAAAAAAAAAAATAGTTTCTGTAACAAAATATCCATTCATTTTCTCATTTTTATGAAAATGGTTGCTATTGGCATAAAAAAAAAAACCAAGCCCAAACAAACGGAAATGAGAGGCCATCCCATAATGCTTTGCCGTTTGTGTGTCTATCCAAAAATCAAAACACTCCTTCAAAGTAGAAAAAAAATCACTTCAAAATCAAATATAGAAAAGTTACATGGAAAGTTGAGGCAGCGAGAGCATTTCTTTCTTTCTGGCATATTCTTTGACACAATCACAAGTGAGACCTGACGAGTACGGTGGTTCACATTTCGAGTTCCGACTTCGAGGTGATTACTTTCTGGCTAAACAAATAAACCGGTTAAAAGAAGTCCGTAAACAGTCCAAGCCTGGTAGGCAGGGGCAAGTGTGGTGCATCCTCCTCCCCGAAAATGGAACCTAAAAGAGAAAAGAAAACTGAGTCAGTTAAGTTTTATCTACTCATTTACTTAGTATGTGATGTGGTGTGTGTGTGTGTGTGTGTGTGTGTGTGTGTGTGTGCTGCATGCACATGCGTATGTCGGTGGGTATGCCCCATGCACATGCATACAGAGACCAGAGCAGGACATAGGCATCTTCTACCATTTTTCACCTTATTGCCATGAGATAAGGTCTCTCGGTGAACTAGAAGCTTGCCATTTTGGGTTTTGGAGGCTGGCCATTAAGCTCTTGGGATTTGCCTGTTTTGGGCCCCCAAATGCTGGGGTCAAGGGCATGTGGACCTATGCTCTGCTTTTAACATGAGTGAAAGGGATTCACACTCAGATCCTCTTGCTTGTTAAGTACTCTTATCCAGTGAGTCATCTCCCCATCACTCAGAAAAAACAAATCAAGCCATTCTGGAGCTATCTGACCTGCAGCCAGTGTTTACTGAGTGCTTAAGAGGCAATGTGCAGGGCTGGAGAGATGGCTCAGCTGTTAAGAGCACTGGCTGTTTTTCCAGAGGACACCCGTTCGAATCCCAGCACCCACATGGCAGCTAACAATGTCCATAACTCTAGTTCCAGGGGATCGAATGCCCTCTTCTGTCCTCCACAGGCACTGCACAACATGGATGCACTTACGCATATGCAGGTATAACACTCATACACATAAAAAAAAGAACTAAAATTTAAAAATAAGCAATGCACACAGTCCTTTATATATTGTCTTTCTCATCTTTGTGATCAGTATGTGAATAGGATGAATACTTACACGTTTTCCAGATGAGAGGTGGAATCACAGATCACAACTGTCCAAGATCACATATCTAGAACTCAAGGCTGCCAAGTCTTTTTGCCTTCTCTGATCTCATTTTTGATGGTGGTGGTGGTGGTGGTGGTGGTGTGTGTATGTATGATATTGAATACGTGTTGTGTTGTATGTGTATGTGCATGTGTATAGATGTGCATGCACATATGTGCAGGTACATGTGGAGGCCCAAGGTAGATGTTGACTATCTTCCTCAAACTCTTTTGCACCTTATTTTTTGAGACAGAGACTCTTACTAGACCTGGTGCTCACCAGTTCAGCTATATCCCCCAATGCTGGGATTACACACATTTTCTCCTGTACCTTGCCTTTTCTTTATATGGTTTCTGAGCAATCCATGTCTTTATGCTTGTGTGGCAAGCACTTTACCAATGAGCCATCCATCTAGCCTCTCTCATTTGGTTTCTTTTTACAGTGTCCTGCTATGTATTCTATCAAAAGAAAGGCTCATCTCCTAGGCATGAGCACATGTATACAATGAACAAATATAAAATCCACGGCCAGTCAAGAATAGGTAAGTTCACACATTCACACAATGGCTGTCAGCGTTGAACATTGGGAATATTTTTAGAGGGGAAAAGGCTAGGTCAACTTGAAGAAATGGAACAAACCAGAAAGTGACACAGCCTGACTCCCCCAAGGCCTGCCCATTCCCAGAGCCACTTTACAGTTTCTCCCCACGTCAGCAGTGAAGATGGGTTGAGGGAAGATCGACTGACAGCTAGCTCTCAAAATATGTATGCTTTCTAGAGTTCTAGAACAAAGGGAGCCAGAAAAACCATTTCCCTTCCCCTAGATACCAGGCCTTCTTGTGTGTTCTATGGATAAAGCTTAGTATCTTCGCTAGGTGTGCTGGCTCAGGCCTATAATCCCAACACTCAGGAAGTTGGAAAAGGAGAATCAAGAATTTGAGGGCAGCCTGATGTGAGAGAGAGAGAGAGAGAGAGAGAGAGAGAGAGAGACAGAGAGACAGAGAGAGAGACAGAGACAGAGAGACAGAGACAGAGAGAGACAGAGAGTCACAGAGACACAGGGACATAGAGACAGACAGACAGGGAAAGTTTAACCCTAGGCCTACATGCCAGAGAAAGCACAGCTCCTGTTTCCAGCTTCAAATACTTCATTGGATATCATTCTGTACATTTCTAGTCTCTTCTACCAAAAGAGGCCGCCCCACACCAATTATCTGTCTTTTGGAGAAAATCTGAAATGCATCTTCCAGATGCCTTCAAAATGGATTTCACTGGTACATGAAAAAGGCTGTCTTCAGACAGTGGCGGAACCATTGCAACACTATTTGGGGGTCACACTGCGGGAACAGACTCAATTCTCTGGTACCAGGTAAAAGCTAGGAGTTCTCGGTGTGTCTTTCAGCTGTGCTGTACTCGTTTCCTTACCTCCTTTTTCCTTTTTCTTCTCTTTGCCTTTCTTCTTTCCTGCCTTCCATTTGCAACATGGCTCTGGAAGGGTCAGGGAGATGATTGAGATCAATAAATACAAAGGGAAGAAAGGGAACTCACAGGAGGGCAGTGTTTGTTATGTGCTCAGCAGGCAGAGCAGGGCACATCCCAGCTACCCCAATGCCTTTGCCTTTTCCATGAGTGGTGACTTCCAAGGGGCTAACCATGATATCTACATATAGCCATGTTGCCAGTCAGTCAGTGCAGAAAGTGTGCTCAAGATGCTTCTGACACTGTGTGAGTCAAGAGAGCTGGGCTGACATAGGGGGAAGGACAACTACCCAGAACACATCAGGTAGATAGGTTCAACTGGGCCGGCATAGACAACAATAGGTGGACAGTGTGAGAAGTAACCACCAGTGACATTGATAATGTCCCTGAGACTTCGCTAGTCTCCTTTGAAGCAAGCCTGAAAGTCTAGTGTGGTTCAGTGGTTTGGTGCTGGATAGCTTCAGTTGTTAGCTTGACACACCTGGGAAGAAGGAACCTGAAATTGGGAATTTTTTCTACGGGATTGGCCTGTGGGCATGTCTGTGAGGCATTTTCTTGATAGTTGAGTGATGTGGGAGGGTTCAGCCCACTGTAGGTAGTGCCACCCCTGGGCACTTGGTCCTGGGGTTGTATAAGAAAGTAGGCTGAATATGGGCCAGGGGAGCAAGCCAGTAGGCAGCATTCCTCAGTGGTCCATGCTCCCAGAATCCTGCCTCCAGGTTCCTGTCCTGAATTTCTGCCCTGGTGTCCCTCAAGAATGAACTTGCGGGACATGTAAGCCAAAGAAGTTATTTTCTCTCCGGCTTGTTTTTGGTCAGAGTGTTTTATCACAGCAATAGAAAGCAGACTAGAACAGGTCTGTCCACAGGAGACATGGGGACATATAGTGAGTAAAGGCCAGAAATGCCACTAAATTCTTAAACGTCCAGGATAGCCCTTCTCAGCAAAAAGTAAGCTGGCCCAATATGTGTGAAGTGCTAAGACTTCAAACAACCAACAGTTGACAGCAATATCTAAGGAAACTGTACTTGCCTCAAGCAAGCGTAAGAAAATCATCATGTCAAAGGGTTATGCTATAACAGGATCCAGCAAGTAGGCTTCAAGTCATGTTTATCAAGCGCTACCTACATACCCCCAGGCCCTATTTTAGGTACTAAGGATACAACAAACTAGAGGAAATGAAAGACCTGTGGTATGAACATCAATCCAAACCTGCCTCTATGACCTTCAGGGTCCCTGCCTTTTCTGATCTAAATCAAGATCCAGTCTGTAGCTCCCCCTCCTTGTAGCCTTTCCTAGCAGCTCAAGTTCATGGCATTCCCTTCCTCCCTTTCCATCTTGAAGTCTGTAGTAACCAAGAGCACAAGTTCTGACATCATCTATTGAGTAAGCACTTGCTGACTTCTGGATGGGCCCATTCGCTTCTAGGTCTACCAGCAGCAGGAAATAAAGCCACAGGTCAATTAAGCGTCAAAAATGTTTACAGCTGATGCACACTTCAACCACTCAATTCAAACCTGGTGACTTGCTTTAGAACTAGTAGAATACCCACTCCAGTTTCTAATGGCCTGGAATTCCAAATAGCAAATTTTAAATTCACCAACATCAAGGTCTTTCAAGAGGATACAGTAGTCTTAATCACTTGTAGCACTTTTAAAGAGAAAACAGGACCTTTAAAAGAAAAATGTGAAGGTAGGCCTGGAACAGGACTATAATCCTAGATACTCAGGAAACTGAGTCAGGAGGATGGTGAGTTTGATGCCATCCTGGGAAACTTAGGGGGACCCTGGCTCAAAATATGAAGTGGGGCTGAGGATATAGCCCAATGGTAGAGCACTTACTGAAGGGATGAGTCCCTGTCTCCAATCACCAGCACCATAAAATAAGCAAGCAAACAAACAAACAAAAAATCAGTGAGAGCAAGAAAAAAAGAAAGAAAAGAAAGGAGGAAGGAAGGAAGGAAGGAAGGAAGGAAGGAAGGAAGGAAGGAAGGAAGGAAGGGAAGGAAAGAAGGAAGACCTAAGGTGACTATGCAGTCTTTCTACTACATCAGTGCCAATGTTCTGTTGTGGAATTGTCTTAAGGTTCTGGATGATGCCACCATCTGGAGAAACTGAGCATAGGGTAAAGGTGGAGAACCATGTTAGACTGCAATGTATTTCTGTCTAGTGACTCTGCTGACTTGAACCTGTAACAACGGCTCTTATGTTAGCCCGATAGAACACTACAATGGAGGCTCATGATATTCATGTAGAAATCAGCATGCTACACTTTCTTCTTTACTAAAAATTTAAGTCACATTTGTTTAATTTTAATCTTACTAAAATGTATAAAATTTAAAAAACACTCTTAAAGTCTTAGTCAAATGATTTCAAGACAGGAACCACTAATAACTTTATAACTTCAATTTTTTTTCAATACAACTCAGGATTGTTATTGAAATTTTTTTACTTCAGAAAACAACAATGTACAGTCCAGGTTTTAAAGTAAAGTTAAAAAGAATATTGGGAGCTGGAGAGATGGCTCAGCAGTTAAAAGCACTGGCTGCTCTTGTAGAGGACCTGGATTTGAGTCCCAGCACCCACATGGAGTGAACAACCATCCATAACTCCAGTTCTAGGGGAATCTGACACCCTCTTTCTGACCTGCATAGGCACTGCATGACAGGGGTATACTTACATATTTGTAGGCAATATACTCACACAGATGAAATAAAAATAAAAAAAGAATATTGTAGCTGGGTGTGGTGTGGTGATGCACACCTGTAATTATAATTTCAATATTCAGAAAGTGGACAATTATGAGTTCTACATTATGAGAGGCTGTTAAAAAGAGAGAGGAATTATGAGAGGATTATGTTTTATGTATATATAAGGGGGGTGCTGAAGAGAATGCTCAGTCAGTGAGGTGCTTGCTGTGAAAGTGTAAAGACTGGACTTCTGATCCCCAGCACCCACATAAAATTCAGGAATAACACACATCTGTAATCTCAGCACTGAGAAGTTGGAGATGGTTGGAGCAGTGGAGCTCACTGGCTATCCAGTCTTGAGTTCCAAATCCATGAGTTCCATGTTCACCAAAAGACCCTGTCTCAAAAAATGAGATCCCCATATCGACCTTTGGGTGTTGAGGACTGAACCCAGTTCCTCTGCAAGAGCAGCCAGTGCTCTTAATGGCTGAGCCATTTCTCCAGCCCCCAAACTATTCACTTTGTACATAATAGTCTACCACTGATTGTAAAGTCTGCTAGCCAATGGAAGTATCTGAGACAGAGCAGTGCGCTGACCTCAGACCTACCTATTCCCATCTACTGGTCCCAGTTTCACTCCTCAAATACTGTCCCTTTACTCAACACACAGGTTTTGGGTGGCTACTGACTATGCCAAACTGAAATGGAAGAATTTTCTGTAGAGTATTGATGTTTTTACCATCTACTAAGAAAGCATCAATGAACCCCACAGTTGAACCAAATACTAAACTGTAATGTTCACAAAACATATTTATAAAACCCTTTCCTTGACTTGCCTTGAAGAAACTATAGCTGAGAAAAATCCGGAAGAACTAGATTTTTCTAGAATATGTTCATGCAAGAGTAACAACTCCAGTATTTGCCCTAAAATAATTCACCAAAATGACCTTTGAAAATGTATTTTCAGGACAGGAAAAAATGTTATAATATTTAGTTCTAGAAATACATTTCACATGGATATCAAAATGGGGGGAAGTTAAAATTATACAAAACTTTGTCATTGAGTATTTCTATCAGTTTATCATTTCATTTCATCATGAAAACCATAATCAGTTATTTAAATACTTCATTATTAAACTTGTGATTAAACAAACTACAAGGATATAACTAGGGTTATACGAGAAAATGAACTTCCCTGACCTTCAAAACTGGCATCACAAGAAGGTGTATTTGAAGTTATTGAGCAATGGAGAAATAAAATTCACTTGTTTTTTAAATATCAAAAACAGCAAGGTGGGCTAGATAGATGGCTCAGGAGTTAAGAGCACTGGCTTGTCCTCTAGAGAATTCAGATTAGGTTCCCAGCACCCACGTGATGCTAAAACCCATCCTTAATTCCTGTTCCGGGGATCCAACGCCCTCTTCTGGTCTCTATTGGCATTGTACAACATGGGTGCACAAATTTACATGCAGGCAAAACACTCATACACATAAAATAAAAATCTTTTAAAAAATAGAAAGAGGCAGAGACTGAGGAGATGGCTGAGACTATAAAGTGCTTGCCAAGCTAGCGTGGGGTCCTGAGTACTCAGGTAAAAAAGCCAGGTACCAAGTGAGGAAGATACCCAACATCAACCTCTGGTGTCTACATGCATGTATACACAGAAGCATATGCATGTACACATCACATGCAAACATACACACGTTATAGTTAGCACCTGTCCCACTGAGCATCTTGTCTCTGTGATTGGTTTTCAACTGGACTGATCACATTAATGCAACTGCTTTCACTGGGGCAGAGGAGCACGGCAATCAAGACTTGCCAAGCAAGGTAGTGTCTCAAAGACATGAGCATAGCTGTGTATTCTCATATGCTACCTCAGTAACCTCAACTAACTTGATCTTGTATGCAGAGTGTGATAAAAAATAATCCTATAGCCAGGTGTAATGGCCCTCACCTTTAATCCTAGCACTCAGGAGGCAGAGATAGGTGGATCTTTGAGATCGAGGCCAGCCTGGTCTACATAATAAGTTCCAGGCCAGCTGGGCCTACAGGGAGACCCTGTCTAAAAAAAGCAAAAATAATAATAACAACCGATATTACAGGCATATTAGGTAAGAGTGACATCAACACAACATTTAGTATAGACCACGTGGCTCATCCTCACACCTAGCACAGGACAATCGTTATTGATAACACATGAAAGCTATTTTTCATTCGCTATCTTAGCAAACACTAGACTCCAGTGTCCAAGACATGAGAAGTTATATTGACACTCTATAAAAAAATAAGTGATTCTCAAAGCAGAATGTCACAGTAAATTAGTGAAGGAAATGTCTTCAGTACACAAAAGATGACTCATTTGCAGTAAGGAGAAACTGGGTTCTGCAACAAAGCCAGCTGGGGCAGCCTCACCTGCCCCTGGAGAGTTTGGTATTGAGACAGGTAACTATAAAATGCTATCTGCTTAAAATGTCCAGGAATAAAAGGTGTGTGTCATGTTTAAAAATGACAGTGCAGTCTTTCATGGTAAACCACTGGGAAGAATGGCTTAAATGTAACAGGAAGCATTTCACAAAGCGACCACAGCAAAGCTGCCCAGAAACACAGCCTTCAGACAGGCCCCTCATCAACCGGAATCTGGTTTCCCTTCACTGAGCTGAAACTCACCAATGAGCTACCCAAGTTTACTTCCTTATGTTAACTCTGAAAAGTCAAAATATAAGGTAGGAACTGTTGAAGTCCAGGAAAGACAGTTCGTTCTAAGAGAGCTTTAAACCCTAAGACATGTGAAACAAGGCAGAGGACGAACTTTGTTTGATTTGAAAATATGCAACCTGTTTTCAAAAGAAGAGTAGCGGATGTCCAGAGAGAGCACTGTAGAGAAGCTGAGTCCTGCCTCTAACAAGGGACCTGCCCTGGTGGCTTGGCTCACTGCTTCTGAACCCAATTTCTTTAATAGGAACAGTGGGATGGTAGGAAGGACTGGCCACCTGCCAGTCTCCCTGACTTGGCTGAGAGTGCATTGTGTTCAGAAGTGTTCACCATGAAAGGCAAGGACACCATGATTATGCACACTTCTCTGGTCACCTTCCATCTCCCCTACCTACTTTCTGATATATGCAAACCCCTCTGTCCTACAACCCCAAAGAGTACAGCCTCCGCAGCCCTGTCTGACCCAGTCCTGCTGGCCTGTGGTCTTATTGTTCACTAGAAAACTAAATGTCTCAAATCTCTAATGTTATGAAAGATGTATCTCACAGGTACAGGAGTAAAATATAAAATTAGCTCAGCATTAGGCTGCATACAGTAAGTTCAGCACATGGTCGGTAGCAAGAGAAGAACCAGGAGTTTAAGGCCTGCCTAGACTATATGAGATACTGTCCCCCCAAAAGAAAAAAGAAAACCATGCAACCTTTAGGATACAAGAGTAACTGATGACTTTCTGAAAACAAAAAACAACAAAAACAAGCCACAAAACTTACTGACTTCTACCCTGTCAGCTGATCTAGTATTGCATCTTTTTAAGAGCTACTTTGATTTTATGAAACAAGTCACAGAATAATATCTACTTTGTCCCAAATAACACTAAGTAAATTCCCACAGTTGGAAGTATTTTAATTAACTATTTTTAATATCAGGAGGGCAGAGGTATAGAAATGATCTCTGGACGGGAAGTCGGGGGAGAAACGGGTGATTGCCCTTTGTTCTCTAATGTCAGGTACACATACGAAGTGCACTACCCCAGCTTTCCACCACACAGGCCTTGTATGGAGTTTAACAGAACCACAGGAGTCCCCGTGTAGACACTAACTTTCCGAGTCAGTGGGTGGCAAGTGTCTCCCACTTGGCCCATAGGTGTGCAGATCCGTATGCTCTTAACCCAGATACTGACAGCACAGCACATGCCTCCTCCACACTGTGAGTCCTTGTCACAAGCCTGGAATGAAATAAAAGATAAATACAGTTAATGGGAAAGACTTGAGCCAGGGAAATATAAAATTATTAGTGAAAATGCTCTTTAACTATCTCAGTCAGAGATAACCCAGTCTGTAAAGTACTTGCCGTGCAAACGTGAGGATATGAGTTCAATCCCCAGAGTGCATGTAAAAAGTTGGGTCTGGCGGCATAAACTTGTAATCTCAGTGTGGGAGAGGTGGAGGCAGGCAGATCCTGGGAGTGCATGACCAACTGAATTCAAAAGTTTCAGGCCAAGAGAAACTCTGTCTCAAAAAATAAGGTTGAGCCAGGTGTGGTGGCACATGCCTTTAATCTCATCACAGAGTCTGGGGCAGGCAGATTTCTGTGAGTTTGAGGCCAGCCTGGTCTACATAGCAAGTTCTAGACTAGTTAGTGCTACATAGTGAGACTCTGTTTCCAGTAGTAGTACAGTAGTAGTAGTAGTAGTAGTAGTAGTAGTAGTAGTAGTAGTAATAGTAGTAACAGTAACATGGGCAGCACTTGAAGACAGCATCTGTAGTTGACCTCTGGTTTCCACACATGCACACAAATATGTATGTATACGTCCCCACATGTGCACATATATACACACAAAAATAGTCCAATGCAACAGTTTTAATAAAATAGAGCTATAAGCTTCATTTGCTTGCACACATCTACCATAAACTTTGATCAGAATTTTTCATGGACTTAAGAGTGCCTGCATGATAAAAACCCAAGATTAAGTGGGAAAAATAAAACACCCCAGCTCTCTTTTCTAGTGCTTCATGGCTGAATTGCCTGAACTTGAAGAATAAGCCTGTATTAGTCCTGCACTATACATGGCCATTAGGAACTACATAAATCAAATCACATGATTTTATGACTATTAACTGTCAAATATTCCCAGTCTAATTTTTAAAAAGAGATTTAAATGGCCTCTAAATCTGGCATGAAGTGCTCTAGACCTATAAAGGCACTGATGTAAATTTTAGAAGCACTCATTTTCCCTTTCAAATATTTGCATTCTGGTTCACGAGACTTGATGCTTCCTGCATCACTACCTTGATTTTTCACCATTTCCGCTTTCAAAATAAGAACCCTCAGAGGATGGGAATGGGCAGACCAAGACCTTTGCCTTATGCCGCTCTCCTTTCACATGAGTGACTTGCAAAAAGGAAATGACTGGTTTAGGATGAGCAGATGTATACATTAGAAATGCTGTTGAAGTAGCCTGTAAGATCCAGTAGGGGAAGACATGCCTGTGACAGATGCAATTAGCAGCAGTAATTACTCCAGCTACACATTCCCCACACCAAAACTGTAAATATATAAAACCAAAGAAGCAGCTATGGAGGAATTTCTATGCAACCATAAATAATGATTCATAAATAATAAAATTTATTTGTGTGAAAATGTATCTTAGGAACTCTTCTTTCCTAGAACCAACAAATAAAACGGGGACCCTTTGTTTGAACAATGTGCAATAACTACATATGTAAGTCCTAAAAAGTTTACAATGAAGGCATCCATAAATTTAAATGTATACTCAGTGGAACAACTAAAATAGTCCTTCAAAGAGTTTAGGCTTAGGGACAGCCACAAGTTCTTGAGATAAATACACAGGCACATTCTCAGTATTGTTTTTTCATGAAAGTGACCGGGTTAACTATTTTGTTTTAGTTTATTGACTTTCTTCATAAGAAGTTTCTCTCATCTATTCAAAACAAGTAGTAGGTAAAACCCACAATTTTTACTTTGGGCGGTTTATATTTTATTATAGGATGATGTTTAAACATTTCCACCTTCTAATTTTTATCTGGACACCAGAAATCATGAATATGTGACCATCATGGTCCATGAATGATATGTTCATTCAACAATCTTTTGCAATATGTTTTTACAAATATTTTTTGAGCATATCAATTTCAAAAATGATATAGGTATGCATATACATATATAGTGCTTAAACTGAGTGCTTCAGTCAGTCCTTTCTTTTAACATATGTACAAGACTTCAAGTTCTGAAGCTCTACCAACTCTTTTTCTAAGACAATAAAAAATCCAGCCAAAATATTTTAAAATTCAATCAATCACTTAGATGTTTAACATCCCATGAACAATATATCCAGATAAGTCACTGAGTTGTTCATTTGAATCCAGATGGTTTCTGTCAGGGAGACATAACTACAGTTTATTGCCATGTTGCTTTGGAAAATTTTTTCAAATACTTTTTCTAATATCGAATTAACAACAAAAGCAAAAATAGCAAACACAACTGTATAATAAGCCCCACCTAAGCCTTTCCAGCATATAAACATGAAATGTGATAAAATTTCATTTTGCAACAGAAAGCTTCAGTTGTTGGAAATTTACAAAGAATTGCATAAGTTTATATCGTTTTAATTAGACAGCTGTTTCCTAGTACCCTTCATTCCTCTTAACCCACTGAAGATCTATTCAAACAGTGTTGTCCTGTGAATGGAACAAAAAGATACTTACATTGCAAAGGAATCTTGGGCTCCGAGGATTAGGAAACACTTAAAATGAGCCAGCAGGGGAAGGTGGAAAAAAGCCCACCCAATCATGTTTCATTCTTATGTGTTAGAAAGACCTTGTAGAAACTTTTGTTCAAGCGCACCGACTGGCTATGGATGAAGCTACGCAAATGAATTTTAAAATCTCTAGTCTAATAAATACCACAAGGCACAAAATCAAATATCTACGTGACATAACTGAATGTTGTCATAGCCCCAGAACATTCAAAATGTCAACACTGTACTAAGGACCACCGAGACCATCAATCTATATTCAACATAATGAGTTTCCTTCACGTTGAACATTACTTCATTACCTGTGTGTCTCCATTTCAAATACACATCTATATGATCTGCACTTAGATATCTGAAGTGATTTAAATAAATTTAATGAAGGAAACTATGTGAGCTACTAAACAAACAAACAAACAAAAAGAGTGAACAGCAAATAGCAAAAGTCCTGCATGGCTGTTCAACTAGACTTCAAAATTTGGAGCTCGTTCTTCAGATACACAAAAGGAAAACTGTTGGGAGTTCGGGGGAGCTGAAGGAGAGGCTACTTGCAAACTTGATGCAGAGGCTTTCTGTGAGTTTCAACAATGTCTACTGCACAGCCTGCTCCATCACTAAGCTCTGGGGTGTTTTATCAAGCTTTCATACAAACTTGAAAATCTGTGTAAGAACTTCAAGATGAAGAAGGGGGTGGGGAGAAGAGAATAAAATAAAATAAATAAAAAGCAGCCACTCCAGAACCCAGTAAGAAGAGCCTAGAGTATATTTTCAAAGCTCACATGTATCCTGACTCAAGTTATTTCAAAAGGTTTCTGCGGAGGACCTAAGGAAGCCCTGGGATTCGGGGTGTCTTGCTCTTTTGCAATTTACTAAGAGGTAGTCAGATGGGCGGGGGCCCTCCAGCCCCTTGAAAAGAACTTCTGCACAGGGAAAGAAACTTCTTTGAGTTAAATGCAACACCAGACCAGCCCGGAGGAGTGAGACTACGGGAGGGAGAAGCCGGGAAGGTGATGGCTGACACTGTTTAATTCCAGGGTGCGCCTAGCTGTCCTGGGCTTTGGGAGTGGGACACTTTCCCAAGTCACCGAAAGGGAGATTGAGACGGTTGTCGCTTGGGGGGTGCCCTCCAGGTGCTTTGGCACCCCTGGTGTCGGGGTCCCAGAAGATCCCAGAGCGACAGGTGCGCGGGCTGCTTACCCCGGTGATGACCGCAGCTTCCACGGTGGGCGGCGTGAGCAGCGGCGGCAGCAGCAGCAGCAGTAGCCCGGCACCGAGCGGGCCCCTCATGGCGCCCCGAGGACGCGGTGGCGGTTGGGGAGCACGATCGCTGACGGTTGGGGACTCAGCCAGGCTTCTCCGAGGAGCCGCGAGCCTGGCAACCGTTATAAAGGCGAGCCCCGGGTGACTCATGACCGGCTGCACGCGGGGGGCACGGCATAGCGCGGGCACACCCCGCACCCCACGCGCACACGTGCACGTGCCCTGCGCCCCACACGCACACGCGCGACGGCCCTGGCCAGCATTCCCATCGCATTTGTGGTCTCAGAAGCCCTCCTTGGCTGTCCTGGTTTCCAGAGCTCCACGTGCTCAGCCCCCAAACTCGAGAACACACATCATTTGCTGTACAGATGTTTAGGGGGTATCCGTGGCGTGCCCGGAGCCGCGGACATAACTGCCCCACATTTGTACATTTATTCAGCATGTCTAGAGCGAGCGCTCAGTGCATGCCAGGTCCTGCCACGGCTCTGTCCTCATGGTGGAACAACTTAGAAAAGACAATCAATAAACGGGAAGCCTGCGAAGCAGGGTGGGAGAACAAAGGGAGTGCCACGCACACCCTAATCCCTTATCCCTGGCGACGTGGAAATGCTCTGCCGGCCCTCCAACTGCCCGGGCCTCATTTACTTCTTTCGTTTGAAATGCCTTCCCCCTGATGCCCACATCTGTTCCCAACCCTCTCCTCCCAGATTTCCCTCACGCGCGTTCCCTCCCCTCTTCAGCATCCAGCCAGCATCAGGCAGAACAGTTCAGGGTCCTGCCAAGTGGGAAATGAGAACTCGGCTCTGCGTGCCAGCCTGAGGCCCCTTAGCCATAGAAAGGCGACTCTCTCCCCACTACTTCTCTATTCAGCCTCAGATGCTGTGATTCCTGGGTTTGTGACAGCCAGTATTATGTAGCCCCTAAATTCTAGGTCCTCCATGAGACAAAGAACAACTTTGCTACCTCCCTCTGACCCTAGCATGGCTCCAAGATCTCAGTCCACCCGTTTCTACAAAGACCATCAAACTGACTTGTTCTGAAGTTTGGAGGCACCTACCTTGCTTCCAGAACACTCAGGACCTCAGACTTTGCCCTGTCCCTTAAGCACTGTAGACCATTGAAAGGCAGATGGTTTTTTTTTTTTTTTTCAGCCTATTATAATAAATACAGTAAGGAGAGTTGGGACAGTTTCTTTCAGACTGCGGGCCTCCCCCATGCCAAAGCATTCAGACGAAATGGGGGGGGGGGTAAGAGCAGAGGGCCAGGCAATTATCTGAATGTTAAACAGCTGGGTATTTCGAACCCTGAATCTTTGGCTGGTTTTAAAAGCCTTTTTGTACACATGTTTTCAAGTTTGAGAAGCATCCTGAGACAGAAAACATAAACAGGACCAAATTCATTTTTAACTTTGAAAAAAAACTGTTAAAATTGGATTCACAGTAAAATAAGTGGAAACAGTAGCAAGTGACAGACTGGTGGAAAGTTCCCTTTTCCAGTCTGTGTGCCAGCCCAGGCATGGGAGAAAAGTAAAAACTGCAGGGGAAAAGTAAAAACCAGTCAATGTGGACTTTAACATTCCTACCACTTTTTTTTCCCTTAAAGAGTCTATTTCATATTTCTTACTACTGAATGCCAATGGGTATTCCCTTGCTTCTCCAAGCATAGAAAACAGACCAGGTCTATGCAGGAAAAGCGAGCCTTCTACGTGGCTGCCTTTTTACAAGGCTGTTTGCAAAACAATCCTGAGTGTTTTGATACAAAGTTGGTAACACTTAAAAATAGGATTGGTTTGAGGTTTTCTCTTTTTCTTTCTTTTCTTTTCTTTTTTTTCCCTCTGTGCTGAGGTTGGAGCCAAAGGCCTGGCACACACTAGGCAAATGCGCGGCCACTGAACTGTACCCTCGGCTTCTTCCGACACTTTCAATGATTTTAATGCTTTAGAGGAAAAATGTTCTCAAGTATGACTTGTTTGAATTCATGGAATCAAGTCTGACTTCAATTCTTATAAATGGAAAGATGAAAGATGGAATTTGAATTGGCCCATAAAATAAATGTAGGAAGCTTACTAACAATGAAACAGCAATTCTGTTTTAATACTGCAACCTGTTGATGTGGCCACATAATCACATCATCCCAGGGTTAACTGCAGGAGGAGGACCAAGCCTTTTGTGTTCTAGTGCCGACTGGCAGTCTAGTAGACCACCACCACTCAGTGAATTTGAAGTCTGATACAGAAGTCTCATGTTTGAAAGTTAGAGTGACTTGGATTGGAGTCTTTTGTGGCCACTGGGCAAGTTACTTGAACCTTTCTAAGTCTCTGTTTTGTTTCCTATGAAATGGCCATAAAATATCAACTTCATGGGATATGATCCCCTGCCCCATGCTGCTCAAAGGAACAACATCCATGAAGTGCTATGCACAGAATCTAGAATGGTCTGAGAGCCCTGGAGGTGACCTTTCATTAAATCTTACAATGTGCTCTGCCTGACAGTTTCAGCAAACACAGATACATACCTTGACTGTCCTGGCCCCCCCAAATTAGATTGCATACACCTTCTGGTTAGGATTTTTGTATCTAATTTCCTACAAATCCCTCCTGCACACATCACTGGGGTAAGCACCCCTAGCCAGGACTCAGAACATAACTGACGATCAACAGGAGTGTGTCCTGTGCAGACAGTCCTATAAAAGGTTGTATACAAATGATACACAGGGTGGATACATTTAATCTATGTAATCCATGAAATGTAGTTTCCAAAAGTTGAAAGGAAAGACATTGGTGCCTAGTGCAGGTGTTATTCTCCTCAGAGGACATGGGACTAGACTGAGGTGACTCTAGAGAAGTGTACTGTCTTATAGCAGTCAGACATTTGACCCACAGCAGTCACTCTGGGTCCTAAAGGCTCTATTTTAACACATGCTTTATGACTTCCACTCTAGAGTTACACTATGTATTCCCCAGAAAGTTATATTGAAACTTTAGCCCCTGGTACCTGTGACCTTATTTGGAATTAAAGTCTTTGGAGATATGATCAACCAAACTTGAAGTCATAAAGAATGAGAATGTATCCTAAATCCAGTGACTGATGCTCTTTGTTAAAATGTTTATTTATTTATTTATATTTTATGTATACGAGTGTTTTGCCTGCATGCATGTATGTGCATGTTGTACAATGCCCACAAAGGCCAGAAGAGGGCATCAGATTCCCTGGAACTGGAATTACAAATGGTTCTCCAAAATGACTTCTTTGAGTTCATGGCCAAGTTATAGAATCAAGTCTGACTTCAGTTCTTATAAATGGAAATATGAAAGATGTAATTTAAATTAGCCCATAAACTGTATCTACCACAAGGGTGTTGGGTACTGAACCCTGGTCCAACTCTTCTCTGCTAGAGAAGCCAGTGCTCTTAACTGTTGAGACATGTCTCCAGTCCTCTAAAATTTTTTGATTCATGTTTGTGTATGTGCACATGTGCATGTATGTGTACTTGTGTTTGTATAGGCCTATTGCATGGAGCACATGTGGAAGTCAGAAGATAACCTGGGGTGTCCCTCCCCGGGTGCCCTCCACCTTTTGTTTGAGGCAGGGTCTCTCATTGTCCTAGAGCTTTGCCACATAGGCCAAGCTGGCTGGTCAGTCAGCCTCTGCCTGCCCCTGCTTCCCATCTCACCATTTTGGGGATTATAGATTCATGTCACTGCCCTGGCTTTTTATATTGAATCTGGGGATTGAACTCAGCTTCAGTTTGTGAAGCAAACACATTACTGGCTGAGCCATACCTGTAGCCTTTGTAAGAGAGAAGAGAGATCTAGATACAGAGGAGAGAGATCTAGATACAGAGGAAAACTCCCTGATGAGACTGGAGTGGCATCTAAGCACTCCTACTTCCCATTGCTAGCTTCCATCAGCACCTGGAAGTGCTGGGCTGCTTCCTTGAAGGAGTCATAAGAAGTGGGCCTTGCCAACACCTTAATTTTAGATTTCTAATCTTCAGAACCACAAGAAAATAACATCTAATGTATGAAGCCACCCAGGGCTGGTCACTTTGCACTGCAACTCCGGGAAACTAACAGGAGTGGGTGGGGCAGGATGGTTGCACATTAGCTTTCAGCTGCCTGGAACCTCTAGGCCTGCCACTGTAGTGACTGAAACAGGTCACATGACACTCTACCTTGCCGAGGACAGCAGGGCAAAGCTCCTTTTGGTTTCTGCTGAGAATCAGAAATCTGGTGATCAGCACCAGGTTCTGCAGGAGAGGGGCCAGTTGTAGCTTGCACTCCTTTAATGAGATTGATAAACTTTGAAGGATTCTAGTAATTCTTACTATAAACCATAATGTTGCATTTTTTGTATTTTTTTTTCTTGTTCAGGACTCCTTAGAATGATACAAACAGCTTGAAAGAGCACCCATATGCAAGCTAGGGATATTTTCTTTATTCATTCATTCAATGGGTGTTTACTAGGCACGTACTACATACCAAGTATTGAGCAAAGGACCGGGCAGCTGAATAAATATTTGCTGACTAAATTACCAGCAGTGCGGAGAGGCGCCTGAAGGGTGGTTGAAAGAGGGCCTGAGGGAGATTGCTGCAGAAGTCAAGAGAAAGAGATGTAAGAGCTACCATAAGCTACGGGTTAAGAGAAAAGGTGGAGAAGGCAACGCCAAGGTTAACCTGTGCATTGGTTGATCAGGCAGAGGGGGTACAGAGGAGAGGCTGTGCTAAAGAGAAATTGCTCATCAGTGAATGCTTTGTTGGATTTAGAAACATGTTTCCTATTTCATATAATGTATCCACCATGATCAAAATTTAGATCATAAGTCGGAAATCTGGGAACCTGGGACTTATTCTCTGTTTTTCATGTTTTACCCTGACCCCAGTCATGACTGTTTCTAAGTTACCTGTAGCTGCTTTTGTATAAAGGCAGAATTGAGTGCTTGTGAGAAAAATACAAGACCTGTAAACAAACAAACAAACAAACAAACAAATAAATAAATGAATAAATACTATCTGACTCTGTAGAGAAAAGGCTCCTGGTTGTGTGTGTGTGTGTGTGTGTGTGTGT